TAATACAATCTTATCCAGGAAGGTTTTTGTCTCTACTTGTAAAAAAAATAAATAAATAAAACTAATGAAAGAGCATTTACTCTTGAAGCTTCACGGAGCAGACTTCTACAAAGATATGGGAGTCAAACATTGCACCCTAAGCAGAATTTGAGCTTGTAACAGGGGTCTTAATGTGTGATTGTGTCTTTTTAAAATTACAGCCATAAGTACTTTAGTGGAGAAACATGGTCATTCTTCAAATCACATTTTGAACGGACTGTCTCTTGTCAAGAACCTGGTGCCCCCCAAAAGGCAAAGAAAGACACAGTTATGCTCAACGAGCAAATTCTAACATGAATACCAACTAAGCAGGCTTGCCTTCAAAGGAACTTAGGCTACAAGGGCATATAAAAATCAAACACTGAAAAAAATCCTTTTTATACACACACACAAAAGATCACTGAATCCTAGACTTCCTACTTCCTGAAACAAAGCTTAGGTGTTGTGTGTTTTAAGTATTGAATATTAACCTTTGAAAGACCAATGGCTAATAGGTAGATAAGAAATCCACAGTGTATGCATTTCTTCCAAAAATCCTCATCCAGGGCTGAAACCACATGGGACCAAACAAATTGTAGACATTTTCCCCCAGCATTAAGGTATTGGCCTTGATTCTACATAATGCAATCAAGTGTATTTAAATTAGAACAACAGGCTGTGCAATTAAGTTGTGAACTAGAAAAACAAAACAGGTTTCTAATCTATTAATTACTGGGTTGGTAATAACAGTAAAATTGATTTTTTTTCCTAGCAATAAGTCTTTGTAATGGTTTGAAAGCTACTTACATACATTACAAAGGATGCTAATCATAACTTTGTGGCATAATGCTTTATCCCTCAGCCAATCAAATTTCTTGTTCAAATTCTGTTTCATTTCATGTAAAAGACAATGCTGACACCTTCAATTGTAATAAGGGAGAAAAGAAAATTTGGGAAGGTGACTATCTTGTTATGTAAAATTAATCAGAATTACATAAATCTAAGTAGAAGCATAACTAAGTAAAACGCAAGCATGCAAAGGAAGGCACATGGACTGCTCTGTTAGGAATCAAGGGTATAGTATGCTCTCACCAGTCATTTCTATGTAACTGGTCTGAAAAGATAAGGTTGCTCTCTCTGTATTTACGCTAATAGCCCATCCATTCTCTGCTCTAAAACCTTTGCTGCTTAGTCTGCACTGGAAGGGGAAAAAATAAAAAGCAACTGGAGACTTTTAATAGCAGATGACTGCAGAGAAGCAAGGCTCACCTTGCAAATAGATCTTTGTTGTTCTGGAGTGCAAAACAGACCTTTAGCTCAAAGTCACTGCTAATCTCAGTTGTACAATCCACATGGTACACTTTGCCCTAAAACCCACGAGGCAAAACTGGAATGTCCGCTCCTATGACCTTTCAAAATCCCTCAGTGTGGCTGCAGCCATGAAGTGGCTGGTTGCTTCATACTCCACGGCAAAGTTATAACATCCTTTTCACAACAGTTCATCCAAGTCAGGAAAGAGACAATGGGAAGACATGCGCGGGGAACATTAAACCTGAACTGAATGTTTATAAAAAGTATTTTAATGCCCAAATAAAACAGGGCATTCAAAATTCAAATTCACACTGGACTTCATGATAGATGGGTAAAGGAGAAAGGGAGCCTCTCCATGCATTAATGACCGACACATGCCCTAACTTCACTGACCAATATTTGTTCAGAAACCATATGTTATTAAAGAGTTACTAGCAAAATAATCATCTATAGCTGGAATGGAACCAAGAGCAATCAGTGATGTATAAAAATCCCGCTTTAAAAAGTGAGTTCTTTTGCTTTATGGCTTCTCCTTTGTTAGTAAAGAGAAAGAAAACGCATACAGGCTTTCTTAAGTTTGTCGTGTCTTCCCCTCAACTTCAAACACTGGAAGCACAAAACTCTTCTTCCCTTGCGATCTAACCTCTTTCAAAAGGAAAAAACCCGTTTTAAAAAGAAGAAACAATAAGTGAAGTGACAGGAGGTTAAGGAATGAGGAATGTGCTCAAGGAGAATAAAGGGCGGTTTTATAACAGGAGGGATTTTGTTAGCAAGTGACTGGCAGGTCTCCTCCAAGTTAGAAAGAATTCCATCCGCTCTCCAAAAACTGCAGAGGCCAAAAAATGTCTAGTCTAATAGTTCTGAAATCCCAGAGTCAGGAAAGCTTTGGGGGAGGGTGGAGAATGAGTGAATGGGGGAAGGGGTAGAGAAAGACCAGCAGGAGAAGAAAGAACAAAAGGAGAAATCCAAGAAAGGGGAAGGGAACCAGAGGATCACAGAGGCCTAGGAGTGGGCTCTGGGGAGAGCTCGACCCCGGGAGCAGCGAGGCAAGCAGGGCAGGGCCACACGCTGCAGCGCAGCGCACCATGGACAGGGCTCTCGGCGGGCGGGCGCGGCCCACACCCCTCTAGAGGGCGGCCAGAGGAAAAAAAAAAAAACCGAGCCACCAGGCGCTGGCCCCGTCCCGCTTCGGTAACCGCAGCACTCTCCAGCCCTGTGGCCCCCGTGCACCAAGTCCTGACCCGGGAAGGGAGCAAACAGTACCATCTGTGCCCATCTTTCGCTCCCAATGCCCGCGGGGTGGCACTTCCGAGCCTCGCTCGCACTTGGGGCTACCATCCTGCTGGCCACCCTTTCTTCTGAATGGGGGTATGCATGGGGCACCGGGTGAGTTTCACTGCCACAGAGCGAAGGAGGACACACCCCTCTCCCACTGCCTCTATGGGACCCCAGAACACATGGGTACAGACTTAAGACCCCCACCTGGGCCCCGCCCAGCGCGAGGGTCGCATCCAAGACCGTATGGCATGGCCAATGAGACCTGCTGGAGACCGAACTGGGGTAGGGACATCCTCAGCCAGGATGCCCCGGAAAAGTTGGGCTGGGGGCCTGTGTGGCAGAGTGGCGAGAGAACTCGGGACCTGCCTAGAGCAGGTGCTTGCAGCTGCCGCCAAGTCTCAAAGTACAGTCAATGAAAAGGCTCGCTGGCGCTCTCCCGAGAGTGGGAAAAGTGAGGGTGGCTCCAGGCAACTCTGTCCCCAGGACCCTCGCAGGGCAGAGGCAGTGGTACAGAGAAAGGAACGTATATTAAAAATGGTCAAGTAATGGGGACTTCTCGCCTGGTCTTGTACCAAAGATGCGGGGCCAGAAGCGTGCTGAAGCGCCTGCCGGCAGACACTCTCTGTGGCAAGGGACCAGATTCGTGTTCCAAGTGGGGCCGACATAGAATATTGCCAGGGCAAGAGAATCCCAAGGCCAGAAGGCAACTCTGAGCTGGGATGAAGACAATAGGACACAGGAGCCCCTGCGCACCAGGAGGCGCGCGGGTGCTGGAGCGGGGTGGGGTGGAGGCAAGTCCTGTAACTAAGACACCGGAGTGAGAATTCCTAGTGCAAACTCGCGACCCCTCCCTGAAGAAATAAACAAAACAAACGAAAAATCGGATTAAAGTACAGTGTGAGGGGACGAGAAGCACAGCAAACTAGCAAACCTAGGAGTTATCCTGCCTCACCCTTCTTCTGCCTGGGGACGTTTCGAGCTCGCCTTGGCCCAAAGGCGAAGCCAAGGAGACCCTGTGACCAAGGCTCGCGTTAGAAGGCGCGGTAGACCAGCTGGCCAGGGAGCCTGGCCCGGGAGTCCGGCCGGAGCTTCATGCCTGTGCAGTTTCTTGTCCGCGCGGTGTGGCACCTCCCTTCCCGGGTGCTCAGCCGGGCCCCGCAGCGGCGCGGGGAACAAAGGGACCCGGCGCCGCACGCCCCACCCCGCTTGCATCCCGACCCACCCGGGACCTCTGCGTACCTGAAGCAGGGCCGCCAGCAGCGGCAGCAGGGTCCGCGGCGCTCCCGCTATCCGGCACATGGAGGCGGAGAGGGGCCGAGCGAGGAGCCGGAGGCGGCGGCGGCGGCGGCGGCAGTAGCAGCAGCAGCAGCGGCGGCGGCAGCGGCAGCGGCGGCAGAGGAGCACCAACAGCAGCGCGGAGACGGCTCCGGGCAGTGGCCACCCCTTCCCTTCCCCTTCCCTCCCCACCCCCTTCTCCGCTGCTCTGCGCTCCCCGCCAATGAGAGCGAGCTGGTAACAAATAGCGGGCCTCGGAGTCCGCCGGACTCGCACCAGGAGTAATAAAACAGACGGGAGATCAAGGAGCTGGGGAGGGGGCGGGGAGGAGGGAGGGCGGGCGTGCGTGCGCGCCGAGAAATGTGTGTGTGTGTGTGCACGCGTGTGTGTGTGTGTGTGTACGCGTGTGCGTGTGTGTGCGGGCCGCAGCGCAGGCGGCTCGGGCTCTGGCCGGAGTGCAGCGGCAGCCCCCGAGATGCGGCGGATGGAGGAGACGGAGGTGGAAGGCGGGCGGGTGGCGCTCTCGGGAGCTCCTCCACGCGAGCTCTCGAACCCCGGCTTCTCCCTTCTCCGGGCGTCCTCTCCGGGGCCGAGCGGTGCGACAAAGCTTCCGGAGGTGTGGGGATAGAGCGCCTCGGGGGAAGGGCGCTCGCGGCCGTGCGCCTTGCGCCCACAAAGGGCGACGCTCCGGCTGGCCAGGCCTCCGCGGCGTCCCCTTCCCTGCTCCGCGGCCACTTGGAGACTCTGTTCTCCCGCTGCGGCCGCGTGGGGGGGGCTGTCGCGGGGTGTGTGTGTGTGTGTGTGTGTGTGTGTGTGTGTGTGTGTGTGTGTGTGTGTGTGTGTGTGTTGGGGGAGATGCGAGGCCGCTGTCGCGATGGCCGTGCCCCTCGCCGCTCTCGCGCGTCGGCACCGACCGACTGGTCCTCGCCACTCGCGCGCACCGCGAAGGGTCTCCGCCGGCGCGACCCGGGCGAGCTGCAGCCGCTCTCCCGCCTGGCCGCACGAGCCGCCCGGGCCTCCCGGTCCCCTCCCCGCCGCCGCCGCCGCCCTCGCCCCCGCCTCCCTCCTCCCGAGCCTCCCGCCCGCGTCGCGGCCAATGGGAGGCCACCGAGCTGCGGAGGTAGCGGGCCGGATCCACGGCAGCCGCCCGCCCCCGCCTTGCCCAGCGCTCGGTTTTCCTTCTGCTGCAGCCTGCGGGGGTCGCCGGAGGGGTAGCTGGGGTACGCCGAGCGCCGCCCAGCAGGTGGAGGGCCGAGGGAAATAAAACTACTTGCGCAGGAACTTGTTTTGCGGGGCCCTGTGTTTGGTCTGCGGAGAGGAATCGGTGGCGACTGAGAATCGAGGGAGGAAGGGAATGATATCTCCTTGGTAGCCTAAAGCATGGGTTTTCTGTTTTGTCCTTCTTTTGCGATGGGTTATTTTTTCCTGGCACTGCCAGACACAGCAAAGTAGCAAGACAAGCAGAGCCCATCCTAGCCATTGTTGTCTTGAGCATCCTGCCAGCAGGGGAGCCCAGGCCAGGCTCCTCTTTGGTGTTAGCACCTCTCCAGCCCCTCTTCATTGCGGATGTACTGGAATGACTCAAGTTTCTGTGTTCTTGTTTTGCTTCCCCTCTCTCCCTCCCAACACACACACACACACACACACACACACACACACACAACAGTGGGAATTTGAGAGTGCGTGCAATTTTATTTTGAAATCTCTGCTTTTATTTTTTTACTGATTCCTGGCGGTAGTCACGTTTCTAGGCAAACATTTACAGGGACTTCCTCCTGCAGCACTCCGCAGCAATTAAAAATGAAATAAACAGAAAAGCATAATGAAAATAGGATTGGAAAGATAAAATGACTGCTGCAGAATTCACACCAGATTAAAGATTTTTGTTTCCTTTGAGACAGGAACTTGAAAGTGTGAAACTTTACAAGTATGGGTCACAAGCATTTTGTGGAATGGTAGGGGGCAGGGAGCAGAGTGCCTGATACTTGCAAGGTAATAAAACAGCTTTTTTTGTGCCTCTAGAACCTTGGTTTGGTGGAGATACTGGGGAGTGTTTGCTTTAGAGGCGAATGAAACAATCTCTTATGTAAGTATTTGAGGTCAATTAGCTTATTTGCAGTAAACGAATATATTCAGTCTCTATTGCACTCTCCTCAGCTTTGGGCAACTGAAATATTAACATTTGAATCTGAGTTTCAAGACACTGATGATCATTTAAGAATTTGATGATGAACCTGGAAAAATCAAACACTAATTTCTTTGACATAACTGATGCAGCTTTTAATAATGTACGATGGCTAGTTAGGCTTTTAAATTTTTAATATTGATTGGAAGGCTTATTCAATTTTAATTAAAACATAATATTACAAAACACGTTTTATTACCCTAAAATTTTCGTGGCTTTCTCAAAAAATAAGAAAGGTCATGCTAATTAAATTTCAAAGATGAGATGAAGGTCTTGGGCTAATATAGTAATCAGGCCAGCTTGTTCTTTTCCTTTTTTTCTTCTTCCTCTAAATGCTATTGCCATAGGACTGCTAATGGCAGTAGTTATCTTCACAATAGCATGTTTATAAACTCCATCTTCAGAAGACATCAGTTTGGGAGAACAGCTCCCATCTCCACCCTGCTGATTAAGCTGGACCCTGGCCATGGAATCTTTGCCTTACTCTCCCTCATAGCTGCCTCTTGATGTTTATTTCCACGGTTAAAGTTACAACAGACTTTAACTTGAATAACTCTTGCTTGTGGTATCATTTGAGTAAAGCCTTAAGCATCGCAGCCCCCATAAATTAAACTTTCTTAAGATCCCCAAACCTACTTTTGAGTAGCTGTCTTGTTAGTCTCTTTCTCTGGGTACAACAGTTTTGTTTTATTTCAATTTTATCACTTAACACTCTAAAATCTAATTTACATGATTGTCATTTCTCAGTAGTTGTGAATTGGGTTGGATTCTTGCCTGACTTTAATTTGATCACCTAACCAACTAAACCATTTTAATCAGTCTCTGATTGCAAGAAGGACTAGCCTGGTCTAATATTTTGTTGAAGATGGAGTGCATCCTTATGGTGCTAATAGAGTCAATCTAGTATTGACTGTTATATTCATACAACATTTCCTCCATAACATTTTACTCAGTATCATCCAACAGGTGTGTTTCTTTCTCTAAACCAGTGATGGCCCCACCCCCAGACAGTTATTACTCGCTCAGAATATTGCCTGTCTAAAGGCTGGCTTTCCTTCATTTATTTTATTGTACAGGATGCAAGGGGCTTTCCAGGAACCCAGAGAAAAGATTGGGCAATATTGTTTCCCTGAGAGGCAGGAAGATTAGAAAAATTATATAAATAAAGACTGGGCTTGTAGACCAAATCAATCTTAACTTCTATCTAATGGTCTATACCTTTTTAAAATAAGAGGATGTCAAATGTATATGTACCCTTAGCATTGTGGGCTGTCTGAATTCGAGAGGGCTTGGTCTTCAGAGGATGCAGATATCCGCATGATTCATTTGCAAACATATTTCAAAGCACAGTCACAATAAATCTTGCTTTGTGTTTTCTCAGAAAGGAGACACTAAATGTACAAATGCCTTTTTTTTTCCAGAAGGTTCTCACTTTGAAAACAAATGTCAAACAGTAGTGGTCTAGTCTGCAGCTTCCTGTCTTCCACACATCCTCTGCAGACATGCCTTTAGGGCAGGGCTGCCCAGCAGAGCTCTTCCCAAATGTTGAATAGAATCTTTTCCTCTCCTCCCAGGCCCCAAGGGAAACTAGGTTAACCCTCCTTCCTTACAGAGTATCCTCAGATTATACTCTTCTTCCCAGTCAACTTCAGTCCGAAGTAAAGTTGACCTTCCTTGGGCAGTATGCCTTGCATGGAGTCGCTGATGTTATATGTGATACTTTAGACCTGGTTTGTGCATCGCCTCATTGGAGACAGGGGAATCTATGGTATAGGAAACTACCTGGAGCAGATGGAGAACTCAATGCCAGCCGTATTATCTTACTACCACCTTTAATCTCCATTCTGACTTATTCTGGGGAACCCCTTTAGAAAGTTCCACTGTAATCATTTTGTTTTTCAAAATATGTATGAAATTTGGACTAGAACTCTGCATTCAGTCCGTTGTGACCATCTCAGCTCTCTAACATAATAACCTTGCCCTTATTTAGTGTGGTTTTAGCGTTTGAGGATCCGTCTCTTTGATAGACGCTGGCTCCCAAGCACACACAGGGGTTCAGACAGAAAAGTTGTGATACCAGACCAGACAAGGGACTTTAAGACCTATGATGCAGTCTTGTTAAAGTATATTATTTACCCCTTTCAGTATCTGCAACTGAAACTCAATTGTCAATGTGGAAAATACAACCAAGTAATTTGAAGTATGCATGGTTGAGTGAGTTATGAAAATTTGATGAGTAGTTGAGCAGAGCAGAGTAACTTACAAGCAACCCCTGAATTACAGTGAACTTCCTTCTGGAAAGTAGGAGGCATAGCACACAGATGGGACTTTACATTCAAGCACTCCTAACTTTGAGTATTTTGCCTACCAGTCCAAAGGCTCTTTCATTTCCCTGTTTCTAACATGAGAAGAATTTTAGTATTGCTTGAGAACTATATGAAGACGGAGGACCACAGCTGGGCTTCAGCATTTAATCTATGTACATTAAATATGACGACCTCCGTAGGGATCCCGAGGACAGTGACTGAGGGTCTCAGATCATCCTCTTCCCATGCCCGCAGTTCTATCTTCAGGGTTTTTCTCTTCTGTGCTTCGTTTCAAGATTCAAACAGGAAACTAGGACTGGAGAGAGAGCTCAGCTGGTAAAGCATGTTCCCCCAAATCATAGGGACTAGAGTTACATCCCCAGATTCCATGTAAGCTGTGAGGACACTGTCATCCAGCTGTGGAGAGACAGGAGACAGAAACAGGGTTGTGCTGGCCCTCATCTAGCCTACTTGCAGAAGATTGCCCCAACAGGATTTACTGTCCCCCACTGAAGAAGGAGCAGGAGGGTCAGAGGACCCTCACTCAGCTCGCTACAACCCCAACCAGTTATTTGCAGCACTGTTCTGACTGCACCTGATGCCAGGGAAGGGCTGGAGGTGTCTAACTTTGGGAAAGCAATGGGCTCCATGGACATCTATGAGACATGTAAGCATCCATGGGAACTCCAGGGTGAAGACTTTCCAGTGCTGCCGCTTTAATCATCTTGACCATAACCCCATACCCATTGTTCTGTCAATAAGCCTAAATAAACCCACTGGTTCTCTGGGGAGAAGTTTGTCACTGGCAAGCTTAGGAGGAAAGGTAGACATTCCTATGTCTCCCTCCAGGGAAGGAATTTTAGCAACACCACGTCTCAAAAGGTGGAAGGTATGAGATTATCTTCTGACCTCTACAGGCCCTTATTCCCCAACACATGCATGTACACTCCATGACTGCACACACACAATAATTTTATTTAGTTTGTCCAAGCTTTAGTGAACAACAAAATTTGAAATGTAAAAAGCAATGCTGAGTAAATAACCTATAGACCAAGAGAAAATTGAAACTTTTGTGGCTGTATAGTCATTCAGAAACACAAATATTCATTTGAAACAACATATGCATTATCTATGTATTGATTTATTTGTTTAATATTAATTCATTTAACAATTATTGCAAGAATTGATGAGTAACAGGCCCTTACGGAGGCTTGTTTTGCTTAGACCCTTTCTTTTGTGAACCTTATTTCTTTTTTTCCTGAACCTCTTCTTGCCTCTATGTATGTCAAGGACAAAATGCAAAAATAATCTCTGGAGTTCACTCAAAGATAAGCTACATTTAAGGAAACGGGATTCCTGTGATACCCCCCAAAACTTCCCTTTTGTTCTGCAAGCATGGGTATTTACTTATGGGGTGGCACCAGCGTGCGGGTTACTTGACAGCCAGAGGACCTGTTCCTCAAGGCAAATGGAAGTGAAGGAAATAAATCACTCGGAACTTTTTGGTAAGGGTTAGTTGTGCCAGACTTTTGCCATTATATCCTTTTAAAGGCAAAGATCTGCCTTCAGGAGAGTTGTGAACTACAACTATCATTGTATAGAGAATAGTAAAGCATATTTGGTGTCTGGTTTAACACTCGTTACGCCCTTTCCTCCAGTGAAGATTGGCATAGTTGGTGGAAGTATTGGTGTGGGCTCTGGAGACCAGATTTGCCTTCCCAAAGCTATAGCTGGTTGAATAATCTTAAGCCTTCCACTTAATTTCTCTGCATTTTTCTTATCTACCCCCATGGAAACGATGCTACCTACCCTTAGGGAACACTGAAAGCTTTAAGAAAATGTCAGCAAGACCCATTTAGTTCTTTAGAGGGAAGGGCTAGGGCTAGATAAGGCTGTGGTATTCTTCAAGGCTGTGGATTTAACTGTAAGAGGAGTAATTCTCTCACATCTAATTTTAAGTCACACTTTAATGATGGGGTATCATCAAGCCAAGGAGTGCTTGTTAAATCATTCTTTTATCCACAAATGTTTAAAATAACACATTTGCGCTTCCAACTCTAAGCGCAGCATCCACGGATAGTTGAGAAAATCCATCATTAATTGTACTGCATCCATCCACAGATTATGTTTCTTCTTCCTTCCATTCTAGCACAGCCGTGGTGGGGATAGCCTGAGTTTTCCTCTACAATGATAGCTGTCAGAAAGGGAAAAGGAAAAGGGGGACCGGTGAGCTGGTTCAGCGGGCATAAAGTACTGGCTGTGCAAGCAAGAGGGCTGTGTTCTGATCTCCTGCACCGGGTCAAAGGCAGTCTCGGTGACTCAACAGCTGTAACCCCAGCACTAGGAAACAGAAACAGGCAGATCCTGGGGGAAGAGGGCTGGCTGGACACTCAGCCTGGCCCAAATCAGTGAGCTTCGGGATAAGTGAGAAACTCTGTCTCAAAAAAATAAGGTGCTTAGAGATTGTACAGAAGGGTGTGGAAGAGACTGCACGGGTGTGGAGGGAGACCAAGAGAGAAAAGACTCAACCGAGGAGATGGGGCAGGGGCAGCATAGAAGAACCCTGAAGCACACTTCCTTAAAAATGGAATAATG